GCACTGCAACTGCCTCACAAGCACGAGGTCTTGAGTTTGATCCCCAGTACAAAAATAAATAAATAAATAAAAAAGTCACAGACATATTACAAGTTAACAGCTGGAGAGCCAACTCATTCTGGGTTTGTTTTTGCTTTTTTGAGACAGGGTCTCACTATGTAGCTCAGTCTAGCTTTCAGCTCTGCATGTACCAGCCTGGCCCAAGCTGGTCTCAAACTTACAGTGATCCTCCTGCCTCAGCCTCTCAAGTCCTGGATTATAGGCTTGCCCTACCACATCTGGTTCCAACTCATTCATTTTAACCGCTTGCATTATTTCTGAGTACAGCTATTCTATAGCGGACATACCATTCCTTTTTAGTGTACTTTCCAATTATTTCCACTTTCCTGCTCCCACAGTCCATGTTATAGGAAACTTCTTGTATTGTTTTTAAATCTTGGTACTTTCAGAATTATGAGGTAATTTTCAAAGTAGGACTGCTGGGTTACAAAGTGTATTTTTCAAATTTTAATTGATATTACCGAATTATCTTCTAAAAGACTGAAACAATCCACATTCCTAGTGAGAAAAAGTTTTCATTCATCTTAATTTTTGCCAGCAGTGTAATTGTTATTTTAAATTTTGTAAATGCTACCTTGATGTTGTTATGATTTACATTTCACTGATCACTTTGATCCTGTTACATGCTTATGGTATGCAGTAATGATTCAAAGCATATACTGAGTCAGATCACTTGAGTTTAAGTCACAGCTCTATCACCCACTGTGTGACAGGAGCATGTTACTTTATCCCTCTGACCCTGATTTATTAGCTGAAAAGAAGATATATTACCCACAGCACAGGGTAAACTGTGAGGACTAAATGAGGTACAACTTATAAAGTGCCTGAAACAGTGCCTAGAACAAATCAAGCATTGAAAAATTTGGCAATTATGAGCCACATAACGTTTCAATTGTAATGTTGCATATAACATAAAGCATTCAGCCTAGCGACAACACTGAAGACATCTTAAATTCAAGTAGCAGTCTTAATGAGGTTCACACACCACCAAATTTCCTAACATTTCTTAGGATGTATCTTTGTCTTTAGGTGGTGTATGACTATTACTAGTGGTAAACCTTTTCTGTGTATTAGGGATAGTAATTCTAAACATGTCACTTGCATCAAAAACATTTTCCCAGTTTATCACATCTTTCAGAGATTTGTCTCATAGACAAATATCTAATTCTCTTTAGGGCTTCTGGGTTCTCTGTTTATGATGATCTCTCAAGATAAAAGCCTCCTAAATATTCTTCCTAATTTTCATTTTAACATTTAAATCTGTAGTATTACTAGGATTTATTTTTGTATATACTGTAGAGTAGGGATTTGACTGCCCTCTAGACTTTACTATAGCTCTCTGTATTAATTAAATGCACCAGATTTAATTTAGAAGAAAATTTCATGGTAAGAGATATGGAAGAAAATAAGTAAGGTTGTTGATAATTACCAGTGAGCTTCAATTTTTAAAAAAGAAATTTCCTTCTCAATTTTTTTTAAATATTGAAAATCCATTTTTAAATGAAATATAGTAAATTCAAACATCCAGAGTTGAGCTGTTACTGAAGTAGCAAAGATGAGGCTTGAGGAGTAAGACAGTAAGAACTCTGAAACCAGAAAAAGTTTAGATTTTATTCTGAAACAATGGAAGAACTGTTAAAAGGTTTTAAGCAACAACTTTGTGTGCCAAAGACTATTCTAACTGCTCTGTAGAAAACAGGTTGTACTAGGACAGTAGAGGTAATGAGATAATTTGAAAAATATCATATAGTCCTAGCAACAGCTAACGTTCCCTCGGACAAGCATGATTAAAGACAATTTTGAGATATATGTAAATGATTTAGAATTGAATGACTAATAGTAAAATCTGTGACGAGAGAAAGGAAATGTAAAGACTATGTATTATGTTTTGGTTTGAGAAACAAGGTGGAGAGAAAAGGAATCCAAAGAGCAGATCTTAAGGGAATAAAAATGACTGGATCAGTGTTTATTCATATGTCAGATATAAAGTAGAGCCTGTTGTATTTCTGCAAAAAGTTACAGGACTAAAGATGATACCTACCCATTTTTTTTCCAGTCAAGGACTTTTAGCTAATGGAGCAACTCAAACTTTCATTTTTATTTGAAGGTAGGGATTTTCCAAGTCTTCTGAATCCCCCCAAGATATCAATATTTTGTAAGCCAGTATCTCTTCCAATTAATGCTTTCTCACAAGAGATCTTAGTAATGCTACAAATTCAACTGACATTGTGATTTCAGCAATTTGGGGCATCAACTTCTATGTGCTATTTTGGACTTCAGCACAAAGGGATTTATTCACCCTGGGCACAGAAAGGCTCTGGATTTTACTCTCTACTGAAAGGTGAATTTCTGGGTTTGAGCTTGTCCTCCTCACTTTAAATTATCCCACGAAATCCAAGTATCTATTTCTGTCCAATGGTTTTAGCCTTCGTTTCACTTTACCTTGTCCTACTGTCAATCCGGTTCTCCAAATTTTGTCAATAGATATATGAACCCAAATAATAAATAGATGTATGAACCAAAATATTGCTACTAGCTATTTTGCTGCTACTACCCCTTCCCTGACCTGGGACACACTCAGTGCAGTAATTCCTTAAACTTCATGTTCTCCAGTCTGGAACCTATCATTTTACTCTCTAGTATCAATTTTTGTAACTGTCTAGTCATCTGGTTACAAGTAATAACTACTCATTTTAGCTGACAAAGGGTGAACTTAAAAGTTATCAGGAAGATATATGATACTCTACAAGTGAAGGAAAATTTGGACAATCAGGCCTTGCATGAGAAGAATCGGGGTTCTTTAGTGATTTTGCATTTATGCATACACTATACTGTCTGGTTTTCTTTGAGACACTACCATCAAAATGACTCAACTTCTACCACTTTGTGTTATTTCTGTTAAGATCCAAAATCTTGGTGGGAAGGCAATTTTGTCAAGACAACTCAGGTTACTCAAGCGTCAGCTAGGGGGTTTGAGGTGGGTACTGTAATTTATAGTTCCATTAAAACCACACAGAATGGGAATGTGTAGCCTTTCAAAAGAAGACAAATAATCTATCGCTGAAGAGAAACATGATTTGGGGCAACCCAAAGCAGTAAGTGCTATTATTATAAGCACTTATATTATTATTATTTTAAGTGTTAGGAAGTAGAAAAGAACCTGTAATGGAAAAATGACCAAGGAATCAGGAAGAAAATGTAAAACGACACAGCACTTAAAAGAGAAGAATGTTTCAAGATGGCAATGGGAGTTTGTGATGCTAAAAGTTCAGGTAAGATGCACATTTAGTAGATTTAGCAATTAAAAGGTCCATGACCTTGAGTGCAGTGAGGTCAAAGTAACTCAGGAATGAAAAACAAGTGACTTCCTTCTATTTAATGTAGACAGTGCAATTAACATCATTTCAGAACAGGAATAATCTTATGTATTCTCAAACTATAAAACCCTAATAACCCAAGTATAGGCCTTTGAAAGTTGTGCTTTAAAAAATTAAGTAATAATTACTGAGCTCTGAGTTTCTCAAGTAAAGGTACAGCAGTCTGTTTGCTTGAGTACTGGATGAATATTAAACATCTTAATATTCACTAGTATAAAGGTGGGTATTTTTAATCATTTGACAAAACAGGCTCAGTGTTAAGTAACTTGCCAAGGTCAAACAATAAGCATTAAATTTAAGAAAGTTCTTTATTTTAAAAATAGTTTAAAATTAACGTAGTAGTGTAAAATAGTCAAATACAGAACTGTATAAATTTGAGTCTCAATCTACACTGTTCAAAGCTATTAACAGACTTTTCTATGCATTTACACACATAAGTACATGTTTTTAAATGTGTTTACACAGTATACTTTTCTATCCATAGCTTGTTTCACTTAATATATCATGGCCATGTCTCCATTCCATTCATAATGAATGTACTTTATTTAGCAGATATGTAGAATTTCTTATATGGCTGAGCCATATTTTATTTAACCAATCCTTTACTGATCAACATTTAAGTTTTCTTCTATTATCTTCTACCATGTTACTTTTGTAGTAACTCAATTCTTGTTTCATTTTATCTTTGATTTTAAAGAATAATTTCAATGTGACCATGACCTTAGTTTCATGACTACTTGGACCTGTCAAGTTTCACTGCTGGTAGATACTATATATTAGGACTCAATTTCAAGTAACAGAAACTCAACTCGAAGTAACTTAAGCAAAAAGTGTATTTATTGTTTCACATAACTGAAAAGTCCAGGGGATATACTAGCTTCAGGCACGGCTGGATCCAGGGGCAAAAATGCTGTCATTAGGACTTGAGTCTCTCCATCTTTTGGCTCTGGTTTCCTTTGCACTGTCTTCATTCTCTGACAGGCTCATTCAATGTGGTAGACCCTGTTGAATTTTTTAAAATCCTACAAACTTAAACACCTCAGTAAAAGCAATTTTTTCTTCTCCATTAACTCAGTAAAATTCAGAGGGATGACTATCACTGGACCAATATGTAAATCACACAAACACTCCTTCAAGAATTGGTATGGTTAAGATGGACTTTGCTGAGGTTAAGATGGACTTTGCTGAATGATGAAGTCTGAATGATGTATCTACCCACAAAGCCCACAGTTGGGTCAGATGGTCCAAACTGCATCAACTGAAAAATAGGAAGTGATGGTTTCAAGAAACATCAAGAAATTGTTATAATGAAATGGAACGGATGCTGGGCAATAAAAAACAATTGATGTTCAGAATAAATTGGAGACTGAAAAAGCTTAACTTCTGCTCATAATGGTAAATGTAGTTGGCTCCTCAGTAATGGAATCTAAAAATAGCCATGGGTGTAAGTTTGTCTTGTCCTCAGGAAGCCTACAGTCCATATGAGTGGAATAATCATATCTAATAGGGTACTTTGAATGATACTATAGCATTTTAATGCATGCAAACATGTCAGTTTTAGGCTTTTTTTCAGAGCCCCTTCTTGGTATCAGGAAGCAGGGCAACTAGCCTCCAATGGCAAATAGTTCTGTGAGGCTACTTGAGTCAGTGGTAATTTAAGCATAGTGGACAACTGTTCTGTTTCTTTAAGTCTTGCCAATAGTATATTTCTGTGAGCACTGATGAATCAAGACTCATTGTGTTACTGCAGAAGAGAGAAGTGGACTCTACTTTCAACGTGCTGTTCTCTTTCCAGATGTGGTAGAAGAGGTCCCAGGTGCTATAAATGAGCAAGTGAAGTGTCTTACTCTCCACTGTAAAAAAAGATTAAAAAAAAAAAAACTGTTGGTCAAGGAGCGTGCAACTGATACTTTCTGTTGTGAACATTAAGTCCTGGTGGGGTGAGGTACAAGCCTTTTTCTATTTAAAAATCCTTGGTGGAACTGGAGACAAGATAAGCTGAAACTGTCTGTAGTCTTCTCAAGGTCAGCAGTTGATTGCAGTAATAAGTGAACAAGGCAGTTAAAAGCTGAGACAGGTAAACTGACAAGCCAGGGTAACTTCACCAGGGCCAGTCAAACTAATAGCCAGGATATAACCTGGAAGGACAGGCAGATGAATAAATGAATCTATAGTTTTTGCCCTGGGTACTCCAGTTATTCCATAGGGCTTATGCTAGATACAATTTTCTGATCTCAATGGACTAGTCAGATATAGTGGCTTTCTCTTCCTGCTCATCTGCCCAAGAAATGTCAGCTCAGGAGAAAGCCATATCCTTAGTCCAGACTTGAGGTTTCACTTGGGAGTCTATCCTACATCTGGAAGCAAATGGGTGGTAGTGCTGGGTTTGTTGAAGTTAGCCCTTTCTTTGGTTATCAAGTCTTCATCTTCTGTAACTCAGCACATCTGAGAATTCTTACAAGTCAAGGCTTCAAAATTGGCTGGATGGCACACTGGAAGTTCTCGATGAAATCTCAGGCATGGAGAATAGGTAAGCTCCTAGGGTTTCAGTTTTAGGCTTTTTCCAATCACCAATTTTTTATGCACAGTGTACATAAGATTCTTGAGCAGATGATCACCCTCATCTTAAATGAGTACAAGGTCAGAGGGGATGATTGGCAGCGAAGGTCAATGTCTTTTTTCTGCAAAGTATATACAGGAAAAAAGCAGAGAGAAAAAAATAGCTGACAATTTTAAGTTAGTAGAAAAATGAACTTGTAGATAATTTCTTCTTTATGCATTCTAGTTTTATGCTCAAGCAAAATAGTCATCCGGATTTTAATTTGCTAAGGGTGAGCAATCAATAGCAATTGGACCTAAACCTTGTTTGAGGATACGTAGACTAAGTCATGTAGTAATCAGATCAGTCTAGAAGACGAGAAAGAATATAAAGAAAACATTTCCAACATTTAACCAGTGTATCAATAAAAGTAGCTGAAGATGGCTGGACCTTAAATTAACTGTGAAGTAAAGGAATGAGATTTTCTACAAATTGGAATATCCCTAAAATATTTGTCTGTGAGTCAGAAGTGAATTCTTCCTTCAGAAACGAATTGTCTTAATGCCTAAGAATATCTCATAGCAAAAAAAATAAAGTCAACCACAGTGTAAATTACAATATTGAGACATATGTGATTCAATTCAAACATCCACAAGGACAGCTCTTCAGTGTACTGGCAAAATCTTTAGCTGCCATCTTTATATTCATTTGTAAAAGTTTGTATTTCCACCAAAATGGTAGACAATACACTATTTGAAGTCACCATCAAGCTAAAATGTCTGGGTCCAACTATGCCTACTACATGATGGCAATAGGCATCACATCATCTTAAAAGAACATCTCTTACTGGTTAGAAGAAATTTTTCCAAATGACTACATTTTATGTCACACGTGAGAAAGGATCTTCAAAAACTGTCCTGAAGATTAGCTATTACATGTAAAGATGAGTAGTCATAGTAATTACAGGGAATCAGTAAATAAGCCAGTGAAGAAAATGTTTTGGGTTTTTATTTTTAAAGGTTATTAATTCATTGATCCTCAAAACAGTAAAATGAATAAAAACCAAGGAGGTGCGTATCCTAGTGTAATTAGGTTGAGTCACATAGTGATTTTGTAGTTTGAGGAGATGAATGATAGCCAGGTACTTAGCCTGTTTAGGAAATGTTGCTAGCATCTGAATTCTGCTTTCATAGTTAATGACTGTTTCTTAACATGAAGTAGAGTACCATGGCTAATGAGAGGTCTAGTGTAGAAATGGTCTAAAATGGCCTCAGTGAGGCATCAGATTCTAGCTTGCAGGCAATTCACATATCCAAGAAGAGTTCAAGACTTCAGTCATGTACTTCAAGTACCACTAGCATATCTGGCGTTTGTGAACGCTGCTTAGTAGCATTTGTCAGTGTAGGGTGCATATGAATTGATCTCTGACTATATCCAATTCCAGGAATCACTGAAGTCCATCTTGATTACTGGGCTAGTAATAAAAGCTCATTTGCCACAAATCTGTCCATATGAACATTTTGGGGTGCAAAGGCACACCCAACACATACTTTTCTAAGTCTGCACACAGTAAATATTCCTAAGAATGTTCAGCATCAACTCAATATGGACTATATTGAATGGAGATTCATAAAAGATGAGAAAGCCATTCAGGTTAAACATGTTGTATACGGCAGTGGTTTCCAAACTGTTCTGAAGAGTTCTGCATGTTGTAAGGAAGTCACTGTAGGTGTCAGCATGGTGGTAAAGAAGATGCTTGTGGCAGGCTGCAGACCCCCACTCCTGCGTCACTACTTCATCCAGAGCAGCTTCACTTTTACTCTGGGCTTCCGCATAGTTTTCATTCAAATGGCTTCATGGCCACATAGCCTTTCGAAAACAAATGATCTAAGAATAAGTTGTTCACAAAACGCTGAAACACAAAAAATAGGTCATAGAAACCAGAAACTGGGTGAGCAACGTCTGTAGTAAGATATTTTTCTATTCATTTTTTTCCCCTAAGGTGGACCATATTACAGGCTAATAGAGTTAAAACTCAAGTCTAGTATAAATTTTGATTGCTTGAATTTGAGCTTATAAATGACTACCATAGGACGAGACCATTGGTTTTAAGTTGCAAGAGCAATGAAGCTTTTGCATGTAGTTGGAAAATGTATCCACTTCTTTGTAAACATTAATTCAAGATGTCTATGTCTAGGTGACTTCTCTTAAGCAATCACAATGGACCACAATTCAAATACTAAAGGAGTATTTCTTCCTCCTCCTCCAGTTCCCTTCCCAATCTTCTTACCTAAGATACAGTATCTGAAAAAAAAAGCTCTATAACAAAATTCTAAGAAATATATTGCTAAATGTTATGGAACTCACCCTTGGGGGCGCAGAATGAACTTTCTCCCATTATCTACCCATATAGTTCCACATTTATTCTAGAAGCTCCTTTGATTAAAACAAATCAAGGTAATGATCACGATGCAAGACTCTCACATGGGGAGTCAAAAACACTATATTATGGGGTGTCAAGGCCAAACTGTTAACACTAATTATACTTTTTTTTTTTCCTTTCGGTACCAGGGATTGAACTTAGGCCCTTGCATTTGAGAGGCAGGCAGTAGAACCACTGAGCCAAATCCCTGGCCCTAGTTATACTATCTTAAAGTAATTTTCCATTCTATTAAAAGAATGCTATCAAAAACTACATTGTCTTTAAACCAGGACAAAATGGGCTAAGATAAAGAGGTCTTTGCTGCAAGTCTTTTGGAAATCTTTAATATACCACTGTGCATCATGGGCTGGGGAGAAGGAACACATCTTAACAGTATTTTACCACCTTACTAGATAATGGAAACTCTTCACATATGACAGTTATACATTTTTTAAAAAGATGGCTCATTTTGTGTATATTAGTTTGGGAGCAGAGAACTATAGGTAATCTCTCAGTATCCATGAGTTTTTAAAGACACAAACTGGGGTGTGTTAGGTCTTTCTTGGGAAAACTATAAAAATAGAGAAAAGACCTAAAAGCAGCTTGTGTTTCACATTAGGTAGCCTTATTATTTGATGAACATCTGCCTTTTTTGACTGGACAATTTAATATTATTGGAGACCTTTGCTTCCACACCTTAGGGGTATTGCCATGGATTATACTTTCAACCTGTCTGATGGGGGCACCAGGTAAAGTTGTAATCTTTTGGAGTTTCCAATTTCATTTTAACACTGTGGGTAAAGGCTAAGTTAACAACAAGGATAATACTGAATCAAAAGGCCTGGTCTCTATCACTCTAGCTGTGTTACCTTGGATACTTGAGTAAGTTCTTAAATTTGTTACCTCATCTCAAAATGGAATGTTACTGTTTTGTTTTGCTAAGTGAAATAAACAAAAAGTGCTCTGAAACTGTAAAGTGCCATATAAACAGAGGGAATTACCATATAGGTTTTATCTTGGTGTATTTCTGGAATCTGACTCTGGAGCCTTGAGAGATGCTCTTAGGTAAAGGGATTCCTTGGTAGAATTGCTTACATTTGTGTGAAAAGTTCAGGTTCCTGAGTAATTCCAAAGAAGATGCTATGCAGAATTCACTGCGCCTTGGTTTTGATCCCAATGGGTCTCCTTCAGTAGGCTACTACAGATTTTAAGTAGAAAAAGAGCAGGGTCCAGTGACCTTCATGGGAGCCTAGACAGTTCATGAACTTTAATCATTTGAGATTGTGGGGTGTGCGGTCCAATGCTGTTCTTAAGAGAGATGGTGTTTTTCTTTGGACAGCGTTGATAATTAAAAATGCTCTGGTCTAAGTTTATTACATGTCTCTGAAGGCTTTCACTGAAGAAATGAAATGCACAGTTATGGAATAAACTGAGCTTCTGTTGTGATAAAATAGCTTTAGCTATTTGGCTTGAGGACTCTGCACTATAAAGGGTTGTACTGAATCTGGGCAGAACAGAACTGGAGTGGAGGTATAGGCCACATCATCACGGATGAATGCCTCTTGGGTCACAGTGGTCCACTGGAATGATGTCTTCTTCAGTAGTAAGTTGGTAGGAATCACCATGAGCAAAAGTCCAAGTACCAGATGTGTAGGCTGATGGACCAGCAGAAGGAAAGTGGTCAGAAGGTCCAGGTGAACACTCAGCAATCAGGAGGCACAGGACTAGAAGGGGGAAGGACAAAACAGGTAAGATAACAAATGCATGGAATTACAAACAGGATTCTAATACTGGGGTCCGTCTGCCAAAGCACAACTGCCTTGTGGGTACTAATTCTTGTTATGTCTAGCTTAGAGGCTGACAGGTGATAAAATAGGAAGGAAAATAAGCAAAAAAGAAAAACACAAAAGCCTAATCAATAATTGCTGCTAATAAGAACAGAACTGTCTGAAGGATGTAGCAAATAGGAACTGCCCCAAGGATCATATTTTAGGGTCGTAATTTGATCATATTCACACAGTTGGACATTAGTTAGTGGGGAGGAGAAAGTGGCTGGCTCCACAGATGGCACAAAAACAAGTGAGATTTTAAATTCATATGCTAATAAGAAAACAAAAGGGATAGTGCCATTCTTTTTCCATTCTTCAAAATGTCTTATGGGCTTCACCTCTAAAAGTTGTCTTTTAAACTCAGTTATGAATTGTTTTATTCAATATTTTGTGTGTAGTAGGTAATTATAAACACTTGCTAAAATAAAAGCTGTACTTTCACTTTACAAGCTTCTATGCTGAGTAAGAGAGAAAAAGGCTTTTCATCCTTAAGTATGTAAGTCTATTCAATGTATCACTTCTTCTTTGTGTGAGGACTCCCTAGATAAGTTTAGAATTAAAAAGTGAAATATGTAAAGAAACATGTTTCCAATACCAGTAATTTTCCTTATAATAAAGAGTAATTTTTAAACTCATTTCATAACAACCAATCATATACTAAGTGCCAGGAGATACTAAGTGATGAATGAGATAGCCCACTCTCTAAACTCCTAAATGCTCAACAGGGCTGGTGGTATATGTGGGCATGAAACAAGGCCTTTGCTTTCAAGGAGTTTGTTATCTATCAAGAGAACAGATGCATGCAAATAAGTATTTTACAAAGAGAAAAATTACATCATATTACATACTTAACAAAGGTATTTTGGGGCTCAGGCCATAGCTCAATTAAAGAACTCTTGCCTAGCATGCATGAGGCCCTGGAAAAACTAAACCCAACCAAAACATATTCCAGCTAAAGTTAAAAGATTTATGGGAAGGAGAGGATCTGAATTGGTACTGAGGAAATGGCAGAAGTGAAACAGATGAAGAACCAGAAAAGGGGCAATCCAGGTAGTGAAGAGTGCAGAAATGGTGGTTAAAGCATTTTTGAAAATGGCAAGTACCATAATTTACTTTCGATGGAGTTTTGTCAGTTTACACTGAGGGTCTGGGCAGAAATTCAGGTCTTCTAATTCCCAGTAACAGCGTGGTGGTAGTGCTTGCTCAGTTGTTACTTCTTTTCTCACAGCAAGATCAATAGTTCCAAAATGTAATTTAAAAAAAAAAAATCGACCTCCAGAGTTCCTGCCACATCCTGACAAACTCTTCTAGGCAGCAGGTCCAGTTCCTGGAAATCTGAAGTCCATAGCTGTGGCTATACCTAAAAGGTATCTGCTTCAGTGATTGCAGAACATTGCAGCCAAACCTTCTGAACCTCCAATCCGAACATCTTTTGTCTTCAATTTCAAACTTTGAGTTCCAGATGTTTTCTTTTTCCTTTCTCTGGTGGAAAGCCTCTTATCACCACAGTCTTAAAGTCTTTTGAGGTACATCCAGATTTAATTGCAAAAGAGCTAAAGAACATTTTTCTCCAAAACAGTCATTTTTCTGGAAATCATTTGTCTCTGCCCTTTAGGTAAAGGGAATAGTCAATTTTTTTCCAGACATTTAAATGAAATAGCAGAACTGGTTAACATCTACTCAGTCAAACTACACTTAACTGTGTTTGTAGTCACTTGCTTAGAGCTGTACCACTTGGTAAGCACCACTCTACAAAATGAAAATGTTTGAAATCCAACTGTTCAAACATTTTTATAGTGTTTACTGGACAATGGTCTGAAATTTAATAAAAGCAGCTGACAACAAAGAAACAAAAACTGGCATTTTGGCCTTCTCAGTATCACAGTTACAAGCAATTAGAATGCAAGGCAGGCCAGGAAAAGTTAAGGTTGGACTCATCCCAAACCTACTGATTTTGAGGTCCAGCAGGTGTTCTAACAAAATTTTTGGAAAAATGTTAACTTTGAATTAATAAACAAAAACTAAAATAGCTTTAGAAATTCCATGCGTGGTTCAATCTGCTCCAGTGAGCCCACTTGTTAAAAATCCACGTGCACCATTAATTAGCTAGGCTTGGCGCCATCATTTAAATATAAGCCTGTTCATCACCAACCACACAAACTAGGGATAGAAAATAGGATCAAGTAATGGATGGCAACCACGGTCACGGAAAACGATTTTAAAAGTCAAAAAGGTAGTCAGGCACCAATATAAGCAGCAGAAAACAAATGTTGGACCAAACACTGAATTCACCTCTTGGTATAACTGACTACATCCACTCCTATCTGTAGCTGCTTTATACTGGATGCCACTGTACCATATTCATCAGTCACCCTTCAGGCACCCCATGGTGAAAGGAAAGAATTAAAGAGAGGCCAAGCAGGGAGTATTGTTACCCCGAATATCCATTATGCATAGAAACAGCTCACATATCCCAGGGACTCAAACGGGGGCTTCAAATTGGTTATGAAGGGTCCCAAATGACATCTAGGCCTCAGTTTCCTCCCTGTGGTATAAAAAAAAATGTCAACAACTCTTCTGGATCACAGTCCCCTTTGAAAACTTGCTAGCAATGGACCATCAGTCGCGTAATATGCATATCCCCACAAATTACATACAATTCAGGGAGTCTGGGAAGTCTCCAACTCCAACCCAAGGTTCCTAGGTTCAAAATCCGAGGGATTTGGCAACTGGTAAATTTTCTAGCAACTCAATAAACATTACAAACAATAATCATCCTTTACGTATACAACACTTCGTAGTTTACAAAGCGCTTTCAATCTCAAGCATAGATAGGCAGAGGAGGAAACTGAGGCGCAGACAAATTACAGAGTAACTTGCTTAAGGTCATTCGGCCAGCTGGTGGCTAGGCCCGGAAGCAAACCCAGCTCTTCCTACTCCGGGAGCTCACATCCCTACCCCGGAGCTGCCTCCAGCACTCCTGCCCCTCTCTAAGGCGGCATGAGAAGGAAAAGGCAAAGCAGAAAGCCCACCACCAACCATCCTCCAGCCTCTTCCTGTCCCCCCAAATGGGTCCTTGCAGGTCCCGAAGGGTGGCGCCAGGCCTCC